TTCGGGTTTGTCACTTATACAGCCCTATGTCTATTGCATATAAGACATCCATTGGGGTTTGTCATTTACGCGGCCCTACGTCTATTGCACAAAACATTCCGCTTCAGGTTAGTCACCTATACAGCCCTATGTCTATTGCACATAAAACACCCCTCGGGGTTTGTCACTTACGCGGCCCTACGTTTATTGCACAAAATATATAATAATAAACATAATATTTATATATAAACATATAATATTCCCTTTCGGGTTTGTCACTCACTAGGTTTGCTCGTGTCATGACACTTAACTTGGGGTATGTCATTTACTCGGCCTTGTATTTATTGCACATAACATACTGTGTCTATTGGATATTTTAAAGATATTTTTTTTTATTGAAATTAATCGGCCATTATTGTCTTATGTAAAACGAGTATTTTATGTTTCTCTACCGTACACAGGGCATCCGTCAACTGCGCATGCACATGCTAGCGGCTCGGGGCTTCAACGTAGTTGCAGTAGATTCCCGTGGATCTAAACACAGGGGCCGCGCTTGGGAGGCGGCTATCAAGGGCAAGCTTGGACAAGTCGAGCTTGACGACCAGGTAGGTTGAAACTATGGAACTAGCTAACTAGCCGACAGCGGATAAGTAAAGATTTGAGGTAAGTTTTTTATTAAAAAAATATTATTTGTATAATCTTTTTTTTGTCAGGTGGAGGTGTTACAGTGGCTGGCAAAGGAAACTGGTTGTATAGACATGGAGAGAGTCGCTATACATGGTTGGAGTTATGGTAAGAAATACCTTTAACTTAATAATCGACTTCAAAAAAACGTGGTTCTCAATTTGACTGTATTTTTTTGTGTATATGTTACGCGATAACTCCGACCCGATTTTGATGATTCTTTACGACACCAACTGCTTGGTCTCAAACTAGGAAATGAGTACCAGAGAACACTTTCCAGAACACCCAGACCAGAACTAATATTAAAAAGTTCATTTTCCAAATTAGTCTTAACGGAAATCGTACCCAGGACCTCCGCATTCATCGCTCAGATTGTAAACTGTTAGGCCACCGAGGTCTAAAAATATAATTGTTCCAGGTGGCTACCTCTCACTGCTAGGCCTAGCGACAAGGCCGAATATCTTCAGAGTATGCGTCGCAGGCGCACCCGTAACTTGTTGGCGGTTGTACGACACAGCGTACACTGAACGCTACATGGGATTGCCCCACCATCATCACCATGCGTATACGAGAGCTAGTGTATTGGCCCACGCACCCTTTTTCCCCGACCAGTGAGTATAATTTCGATTGCTGTCTCTATTATGTCGCGCGACTGGCGTTAAGCGACACGCCTGTCCATAGTAGGCCACTCAGAGCTTTAAGCAAAGGTCTGAGGGACACATCGAGTATATAACCAGAAATAGAGACGAAATGTCTTTTAATTTGTTTAAATACTATTCTACCAAATCATTACTGTGATATCTGCGCTCCGATTGGCCAGCCAGAATTCGAAACAATTGACGGGTGTCGTCAACTGTTTCACTTCAAATCGACCAGTTAACTTGATCTTTGCTATAATGGACGAAAATTGCAAAATTACGTATTTAATATATTATTTAATTACCGATGAAATGTGATTCCGTTTGTTTTGTAATTAGATGTTTTGCTGTTTTTCCCACACCACCGAATAGAACAGCACGGCATTGTTAGAGATATTATCTTTATTACAATAAATACAGAATATTTTTTGGAATATACGGAGACGTACACACAGGTCAGTAGTTGACCTGTCTATATTTCAGTGCAAACGGGAGTTGATATTTATAAGAGCTGTATCGCTAATGTGTTACCAGGAATATATGGCTCTTATTTTGTCTCTATTTCTGGTTATATACTCGATGGAGGGACACTACCATTGTGCCTGTCAAACTGAAACGTAGCCTTTGTTCTTCAAAACCGGAACGTGGTAATACTCGCTTTATTGCCCAAGCAATAAAGCGAGTATTACCACGTTCCGGAATCTATTCCTGCTGCCAACAGCAGGAATAGGTAAGGTGGTAATGTTTCTCTTGAAGAACTCTTTCACAAGGTGCTCTACTGCTAATAAGAAATATATTATGTGTCGGTTTAAATAGGACAATCTTTACTTTCAAGTTGAGACTACTATTATAATAGCACCGTATTTCACATCGTGCCGGCCAATGGGCCTAATGAATGCCTTAACGGCGTTCCCGGCCAATCAGAGGCCGTGGGGGTTAAAATAACCGACACGGCGCACCAAACTTTGCGATGCTCGTTCACGCCGCAGGTGGTAAACGCTACGTATTTAGCCATATAACATGACCGGCGTGGCCCTGATGAACTGCTGTTGCCATTTGGTTTTTAGGAGTTTTGATGGCATACATACTTTTCTAGACTAAGAGGAAAAAGTATATACATTTCGAATAAAAAAAAATTATTTTAATTTCAAATTGGATTTAAAAGTTACAAACTAAGCAAAAAAATGATTAATGTCAAATGTCAATCTCAAATGAAAGACGTACGTCAGTTTTAGGTAAACATCGATCGAACATTACGTGCACATACTCTGCCCGGCATTGCGACTGGCGGGGCCTAAACGTAATAATTATTGCGTTTAGGCCCCGTCGGGTTAAAATGCCCGTCACTAAATATAATCCCAAACTAGAGCCAAATAATGGAATATCTCGAAAAAATTTATATATGTATACAAATGACACCTAAAACATAAGCCGATGTCATGTTTTGAACATTTTTGAAAATTTTAGTCGGCGACGAAAGTGTTAACTACTTCATCGCTTTATTGTTACAGAGAAGGCCGGCTGCTAATTATCCACGGTCTGGCAGACGAGAATGTGCATTTCTGCCACACAGCCGCGCTGCTCGCCGAGCTTGTTCGCCTCGGCAAGCCGCATCGAGTGCAGGTCAGTGCTCAGTCCGGTATAACTGAAATGGTAAAGATAAAAATAAATTACCCCAACTACTTGATGCGTAAAACGGAATATTTTTCCATAGAGATTGACACCATAAAGTCGATAGATCTACAGAACAATAAATACAGTAGAAATGACCTGTCTGAGCTCAGTCCGCCATTCTCGCTTTGTATGAATGAATGAATGAATGAATGAAATATTCTCTATTGCACATAAAATTACAATTAAAATACAATACAATAGCTTAAGATAATAGTAGTAGTAAGTCAATGTGCAACAGGCGGCCTTATTGCTATGTAGCAATTTCTTCCAGGCAACCTTAGGATAGACATTTCGGATATGCAAAAGGGGTGCAACCAAAGAATATCATCATAAGTACACTACATAATAAGTAATAATAAAAATATATACATATCCATAGATAGATATGCATATACATACAAATAACAATAATATTATTAATACATACATAACAATAAATACACAATAATATTAAATGTTTATGTACTTTTAATAGAAAAAGAAAAATGAAGTACATATGTAGGAAATAAATGAAAGGATAGTAGAGGACAGACGAAATTTAGGAGTTGAGGAAGTGATCCTTGACACGTTGTTTGAAGGAATCAAGAGAAGGGGATCGTCGAATCGATTCAGGGAGAGAATTCCACAATCTGATCGCAGAAATGGTAAAAGAGTTGGAATAAAAGTTAGAGGTATGAGAGGGCAAGTTAAGTAAGAGAGTATCAGAGGAGCGAAGGGGACGACAGAGTGTAGAAGTTTTGAAAGTAAAGCGATCTTTAAGATAAGAAGGCGTAAAGGGATAGAACAGAATTGAATAGAGAAGTGAAAGAATATGAAGATCTCTACGCCAATGGATGGGCAGCCATTTAATTTGTGCGCGAAATTGGGAGACATGGTCAAATTTACGTAGTCCGAAGATGAACCTAACACACATATTTTGGAGCCGTTCCAATTTATTGAGCAGAGTTACTGACAAATCTGGGTAGCAAACATCTGCATAGTCCAGTATCGGGTGGAGAATGCTCTGGGCCAGAGTAATTTTGGTTTTAGTCGGCAAAAAGTTAAAAAAAAGTTAAAAAGCCTTCTCAGAGAGAAATGCGCACCAAACACCTTCCTGCTAACCTCAGTAACTTGCGGCTTCCAAGTCAGACATTTATCAAAAATTATCCCCAAATTCCTGACTGTATCCAAATAAGGAATACAGACACCATCGAAAACCACAGGGGGTAAGGAGTCTAGATTTAGACGAGAATTGAACCAAGTGCTACCTATAATAATCGATTGTGTTTTGGATGGATTAACTTTAAGGCCAAAGGACTGACTCCATTGACGAATGGATTCAAGGTTGTATGGTAATATGGTTATGTCATTCTTTGGCGTAAATTCTCTAAAATCATAGAAAAATGCTTATTGCCCTGTTTTGGAGTGCAAAAATGACAGCATCACCAAAAATATTGCCCGTACCCTTATTTTAATAAATTTTCAATTTTCTGTTTGTTGAAATAATTTTTTTGTTACAAGAAACGAAAGTAAAGCTTATACTCTTCCAAGATGGTCGCTTTTTTTTTGGAGAACTAAATTTATAACTAATTCGTCGTAGTTCAACAATTAACCGCCAGTTGGCATCACAATGATTGAAATTTCAATATAATACCAAAACGTCGTAATTATAGTTATTGATGATATTGAACTTTCAACGATATGCCAACAGGATAAAGTTTAAATTATATTAACAATCCAGAATTTGTTCTTTTTAAATTTGAAACTACGACCAATCAATATTAAGGTTATGTAGTGTTCCACATTAAGAATGTGTGAGTTTTTGGCGACATCGATTCTTATAATAATTCCATTGTTTTTTTCTTCCATTGTAAGCTTTACTTTCGTTTCTTGTAACAAAATAGTAGGTTATGTGACTTATATAATGAAAGGCAATAAAACACGGGTGTAGGTTTCATAAAAACATCACACGAGTGTTAATTAAAATTAAATTGTTACAAGGACATACTTTTAAAATAAAATTGACAATATGGCTTTGGACTCATTGCTTCTATAGTAATAAGAATACTTAGAATTTTGAAATACAAATTTACATTAATAATTAATAAGTGCAATTAACAGTAGATACCGAACATGAAATCCTATTAGTACTTGCACGTCTGCTTACACGTCGAATACAATGTACCTTTTTTTTGCAATGTCCAGTGATGGGACAAACAAGTCGTGCGCCTGATGGTAAGCTGCACGCCTGTTCATATCAGTTGCAGTGTCACTGAGAACTTTAAATCGCAAAGACCTGAACGGTAGCGCCACTGCGCTCGTCACCTTGAGACATAAGTTGACAAGTCCCATGTGCCTGTAATTTCACCAGCACCCTTACCGTTCAAAACCGGAACACAGTAATGCTGACATTACTGTTTGACGGCAGAAATTCCCTGGACTATCTCTTTCACATGGAGCTCTTCTGCTACTAGTAACCTAACCTAATTTTACTTAAAACCATTATTATTACTGTGTTCTGGCAAATAAACATATTGTATTCTGTTCTACGAAGGCCTGATTTTGTTAATTTGCTTAAGCATTACTTTTAAGCAACGACTTTATTTTCAGGTGTATCCAGGCGAACGGCACTCACTACGGGCGATGCATGCAGCGAAACACTACGAAGCGACTCTACTACATTTCTTACACGAAAATTTGTAAATATTATCTTAACGCAATCCCATCAAAGATATAACGAAAAGGTCAACATTATTACAGATGCTGGTCGAATTTATTGACACCTGCTTCTTACAATATCAAATTTAAAATATCTTTTGTTGATTGGTAAGCAAATTCAAATTGGAATCGTCAAATTAATCACTACTATCGATTTGAACTTTGTATATAGATATTTTTTTTACACTTATAATGAAATATTTTATTTAGAGTAAGAGCGCCTTCAAATTGAGACGCTTATGTGTGAAAACACAAAAAGACACTGAAAGAGCAGCGGACGGGGGAGCGTTTTTGGTGCAAAGTATTACTTAGCATTTCGAATCTTATCTCATAAAGCGACTATGGTATAAAGGTTTAGGTAATTAACTAAAAGCATCGAGTATATAACCCGAAATAAGGATAGATAGATAGATAGATAGAATACGTTTATTGACTTACCACAAGCACACACAATAATATGAAACAACAAATAAAAAAAGAAAGAAAGAAGACAAAAAAAAACTCAAAACAAAACATACAAAATAACAAAAAAGGTATGAAATAAAATAAGAATACACAATAAACGACATATATCTACAATTAATTAAAAAGCAAGTTGTG